CTGGGTTCACAGAATCACAGAATCCTGGAATGGTTTGGGTTGGATGGGATCTTGAAACTTGTCTTGTTCCAAATCCCTGCCACGGGCAGAGAACCTTCCCTGAGCCCAGGTTGTCCTCCTTGTGCTCACTGACGAGGAACAAGCCCTCCCTTTTTGGGGATGAGGCCTCCATCTTTTCAGGGACCCTGAAGGGTGGGCCTTTGGGCTGTGGATAAAAGGATTTCTTCTTTCCCATGGCACAGGGGAGTTTGGATCAGTGATGGAGGGACGCCTCAGCCAGCCTGAAGGTGTCCCACAGAAGGTGGCTGTGAAGACCATGAAGTGTAAGTCATTCCCTGTCCTCCCAGGACTTTGTTTATCCCACTGTATGCCGACATTCCCGCTACCTCTCTCAAGGAACAGCATCCTGGCACCCCTTTGTGGCCTCTCTGCCACAGCTCCTGCTGCCATCAGGAGGGGACACTCATGTCAGACATCCAAGGATGGTGCAGCCATGGATCCCTTTTCCAAGCAGGAGCTGTGCTGTGAGGGAGATGGCAGCAGCAATGCCGAGTGTTAAACCTCCTTCTTTTTCTCTGCTTCCCAGTGGATAACTTCTCCCAGAGAGAGATAGAGGAGTTCCTCAGCGAAGCAGCGTGCATGAAGGACTTTGACCATCCCAATGTCATCAAGCTCCTAGGTATGGAATGTCACTTCCTGCCCTCCAGCTGGGATTTGGGCTGGGGAGCCTGGCCTGGATCCCGCACGGATCCATGGGGGACTGTGGTGCCTTTTCCAAGCTGTCTGTGTTTCCCAGGAGTGTGCATCGAGCTGAGCTCCCAGCAGATCCCCAAGCCCATGGTGATCCTGCCGTTCATGAAATACGGAGACCTGCACAGCTTCCTGCTCCGCTCCCGGCTGGAGATGGCCCCCCAGGTAGGGAGCACCCGGAGCAGAGGAGCAAGGTGGGATGGGGTTTGGGAAAGGAATCCTTCTCCGCAGCTCCTGCAGGCTTGTGGTTCAAGGAATGGCCCAGTCTGAGGGATGAATGTCTGGAATGTCAGCTGGCAGCCCTGGACGGGGGGAGCCTTTTGGATCAACCCCCACGTGCTTCCCCAAGGCCTCCCACTGCCTAATCCCCACCTTCCCTTCCCCTCCTTTCCCAGTTTGTGCCGCTGCAGACGCTGGTGAAGTTCATGGTGGACATCGCCCTGGGGATGGAGTACCTGAGCAGCCGGAACTTTCTGCACAGGGACCTGGCGGCTCGGAACTGCATGTGAGTGTGCTCTGCCACCAACACCAGTGGGAAACCCTGCGGATTTACGGCCCAGCTGGGCTCCCTCCCATCAAACCCGGGAGGGGAGGGCTCAGCCTGGGGTTGGTGCTCCAGGCTGGAGCCTTCCCTGGTTTCCCCCGGCAGGTTGCGGGATGACATGACGGTGTGCGTGGCGGACTTTGGCTTATCCAAGAAGATCTACAGCGGGGATTACTACCGGCAGGGCCGGATAGCCAAGATGCCGGTGAAGTGGATCGCCATCGAGTCCCTGGCTGACCGCGTCTACACCACCAAGAGCGACGTGGTAGGTGGAGGCAAGGCTGGGAACCAAACCCTGGCTCCAGTTGCTGTCATTCCCTGGAAGTGCCAGAGGAGCAGGAGGCTGTGGGTGACCTTTCCCTGCCGCCCTGTGTTTGTCGAGTGGGCCGCTCGCCCCTGCCATGCCAGTGCTCGTTGTTCCCGGTTCCGGGAGGGTGACAGCTCTGCCCGCTGTGCCCGGGACGCCTCCACGGGCAGTGCCCTTTGCCCATGAAAAGGGTCATTCATTCCCCTTGGAGCGTCCTTTCAGCGCCGCCCTCTCCCTTTGTCCCCTCAGTGGGCCTTCGGCGTCACCATGTGGGAGATCGCGACGCGCGGGATGACGCCCTACCCGGGGGTGCAGAACCACGAGATCTACGAGTTCCTCTTCCACGGGCAGCGCCTCAAGAAGCCCGAGGATTGCTCGGATGAGCTGTGAGTACCGGAGCCCTACTCCTGGGCTCCACCATGTTCTGATTGGAAGTATCCTGGGAATGAGCTCCGTAGGACTTGCACAGTGTCCCGAGTTTTGATGTGCCTCAGGCAAGCCACATCCTGGAGCAGAGCAGTGTGTCACCCAGGCAGGCAAAAGCAGCTGAACTCCAGGCAAAAATCCCAACAAGTGTCCCAGGGAGAAGTGATGGGTTTGCACAGATGTGCCGAGGTCACCAGGAGCAGTCAGGGACAGGATTTTTTTAGGGCTTTATTTCTTTATTTTTTTGGTTAAATCAGTTTTGGCCAGAAGGTCCTGGCTGGTGATGCTCCTCTGTGCCCCACAAAACTCCCTCTAGGGCCCTTCATGGCCTCAAATCCATAAATCTGGAAACCTCAAACCTGGATTTCTGAGCAGCTCAGCAAAGGCTTTTCTCCTGACTTTCCTTCCTGAGTTTTCTCTGGTGCCATTAGAGCTGAAAATGTTTAATCCCCCCATGGCTAGGAATCCAAACCGGATAAACTGAGTTGTGCAACGTTTCCTAAAAGGCTCCTCTCCAGCGCCTGTTCCTGAAGGAAGTGGCAAAGGAACCTTTTAAATCCCGCCTGCCCGAGGGTGGACAGGCAGCGTGTGCCCAGCTGGGACCTGCTGGGAGCTCCCAGTGCTCCCTGACATCCAGCCTGGGAGCAGGCACCTGCCAAGAGAAGGACTGACCATCCCTGACTCAGAACTGGGATGTTCCCAGGGAACAGATCCCAGGGCTGCGCTGGGAGAGACTTGTAACACTTGTAACAGCAGCTTGAGCTGATCAGCCTGGAAACAGCCTGAGCAGAGGGAGTTGTTTTTGTTTTGTTTTAATGGAAAGCTCAAGGCTTGCCCAGTTTGCAGGGAAGCTGGGAATTAACCCCATATCTCCCTTAATCCAGAGAAATACAGGCTGCTGGAGAAGCTGTGGCTGCCCCACCCCTGGGAATGTCCAAGGCCAGGTTGGACAGGGCTTGGAGCAACCTGGGATAGGGGAAGGTGTCCCTGCCATGGAACTGGATGGGCTTTAAGGTCCCTTCCAGCCCAAACCAGTCTGAGATTGTGGGATTGTAGGATCCTCTGAGGTAACCACGCTCCTCTCCAATTCCCAGGTATGAAGTCATGTCCGCGTGCTGGAGAGCCGACCCTGCCACCCGCCCGACCTTCTCCCAGCTCAAGGCCCACCTGGAGAAGCTGCTGGAAAACCTGCCCAGCTCCAAGGGCTCCGGGAGGCCATCTACATCAACACCAGCCTGCCCGAGCAGAGCCTGGACTCCACCCAGGATTCGGGCTTCCCGCAGGCGGACTCGGACTTGGAGGCCGGGGAGGTGTCGGAGCCCGGCTCTCCCGGCGCGGAGGCGGCGCTGGTGGCCGTGGATGTGCATCCCGGCGAGCCGTGGGGGACGAGGTACGTGGTGGAGGAGCAGCTGGGCGGCCCGGCCGAGGATCCCTACGTCCCGCTGCTGCCCGGGGACGGCTCGGAGCCAGGGAGCCGCTGGAGCCAGGCCAGCACTCTGCCGGCACCGGAGCTGCCGCCGGCCGAGAGCCGCGGGGAGGACTCGGAAGCGCCGCTGGGAAAGGTGTGAGTGGGCACCAGGACAAGGACGCAGAGGGTGTATTTTAATAAACGGTCGTCTCTTTTACTTCTTATCTCCTGCACGGTTTTCCTGGCGGAGTCGGGCCCTTCCCAGGAGCTCTTTCCTGGGCTGAAGTCCCGAGGGTTTGGAATCAACGCTGTAATTATTTTTTCTATAATTATTTTTCTTTCCAGAAGGACCATGGCAGGGTGGGGTGGATGGTGCCGAGGGGCTGGAGCTCCCCACGCTCAGAGGGGGCAGCCAGCTTTGCAGGGCCTGGTGTTTTCCCACTTTTCCACCACGTGTTGAGGATTTGGGGATGGGCAGCCCTATGAATGGTCTGGGTTCTTGCTACAGAACCTGCTGTAAGAAATCAGGGAAAATGGCAGCAGGAACCCCACCAGGAGCAGTGTGTGCTCCCACATTCCCTTCGCCCAGAGAGCAGGTTTCCATCCATCCGTGTGCCGGTCCTGTTGCAACAATGGGTAAATGAGAGCCTGTGAGGAGGGTCCTGGGAGGGCTGGAGCCCCTCAGCCATAGCCTGACCCTTCCCTGCTATCCATTCTCTATTTTGGGGGGATTTCTGCTGCTTCCCTTCAGGCAGCAACTGGAGCTGGACCCTGTGCTCTGTCCAGCACCTCCCGCTTCTCCTGGGGGGGCCGGGCTGGGGAGGGGCTGTAGGGGGTGGGAAAGGGGGTGAAGGGGCTGGAGAAGAGAATAACTGGGCTGGGAGAAGGTGCAGAGCTGGGAAAGAGGTCTTGATTCGGAGCGGGTGGGCGGTCCTGGCCCAGGTATGTGGGGGGACCTTCGGGGGCTTTCCCGCACGGTGCTCGCTGCACCCGGCTGCGACAGAAACAGCTTTTCTAGGGGGAAAAACCCCTGTGGGGACGGGCCACTGGATGGATGTGTGGGGCTGTGCCGGTGTCCCATGGGATGGATGTGTGGGACTGTGCCGGTATCCCATGGAATGGATGTGTGGGGCTGTGCCGGTGTCCCGGAGGATGGATGTGCGGGGCCGTGCCGGTGTCCCATGGAATGGATGTGCGGGGCCGTGCCGGTATCCCATGGGATGGAGGGGGGCAGTGCCGGTGTCCCGTGGGATGGATGTGCGGGGCCGTGCCGGCGCCGGGGCGGGGAAGCGCCGCGTCCCCTGCACGGGGCAGCGCGGGGGCGGCGCGGGCGGGGCGGGGAGAGCGCGGGGCAGCCGGTGCCGGAGAGCGGCGGGGCCGCACCGCACCATGCCGGGGGCGCCGGGGCCGCGGGGCCGCCTCCCGCCGCTGCTGCTGCTGCTGCTGCCGCTGCTGCTGCCGCTCCCGGCCGCGCCGGCCGCCCAGGTGAGCGGGGAGCGGGACCCCGGGACGGGCTTTATGGGGATGGGGCGGGGGCACAGGACTTCTCTCCCCTTCCCGCCCCCTCCCCGGGGCCGGAGCGCCCCGGCAGTCCTGCGGTGCAATCCCCGCTCCTGCCCCGGGCCCCGGCAAACAGGTGGGCGAAGTCCCAAACCGCGCTGAAACCGCGCTTATAACCGCGCCCGGCTTCCTTCGGGCTACCTTTTTCCCCCTCTTACCCCACACCTGAAGCTGCCCCCGAGCACACCGGGAGCAAAGTATCCCGGTTTGGGGCTTTTGGCGGGGACTTCACGGCTTTGCGATGGCTCAGCATCCCGCCGGAGCTCGCGCTGGCTCCCGGAGTTAAACCCAGCCCTAACAAAGAGCTGTTTATTAAAGCCAGCGACGCGCCAGCATCTATTTGCTTTTGCCTCCCTTCCTCTGGGATCGGGGTATCCCAGAGCTGCCGGCGCGGTCCGGCTCATCCCCACCGGCAGCCCGGGACCCCCGAAACTGCTCCCAGGGAACCAGAGGACACCCAGTGCGTTCTTTGCTTGGGCTGGTGTGTTTTTCCTCCCGCTCTGGAAACGGGAATCGTTTCGGTGTGGTTATGAAAGAGGGGGAAGGAATCCCTCGGGCCAGGTGGGTCAGAGCCCACCGGCTCTGCCTGCTTTCCCAGAGCTCCAAAGCCCTCAGCCCCTCTGTGCTGTCTCCCCGCTGCGCTCCCTGGATCTCCGAGCTCCGGCTTTGCTCTTTTTCCTCGGTTTGAAGTCAATCCCACAGGAATCCCATAATAACGGTGCCCGTCTCCGGCATGAGTCAGTCCCGAGGGAGCGATCGGTTTGCGGGCAGGAGTCCCACCAGCGTTCCTGGCCCCGGCAGAGCTCACAAGACAGCTGTTTTCCTCTTGTTTTGTCATGTGGCAGCGGGACAGGGCTCTGGAGCTCCAGCAGGATGAAACATGAGTTATAGCATCTCTCCCAGGGCTGACAAAGCGATCCCAGCTCTGCCCGGAGCGCGGCGTCACCCGGGTACATTCCAGGGAGGAAGCCTGGGCTGAGGATTTCTTGCCCAGGTGGAAAAAACTCCTGAATCTTCACAAATAGGGGGAAGGGGGAAATATGAAATCAGGGATCTCATTTGATGCTGTGGAGCTCCTGCACAAGCCTCCTCCTGCGGGCAGCAGTTGGATCCTGGCTGGCCCAGCAGCACTGGGACTGGAGTGGGATCCCCATCCCTGTCCCCATCCCTGTTCCCACAGAGCTGCTTCAGCAGGCAGCAGCTCCTGGCCGCCATCCGGCAGATGCAGCAGCTGCTGAAGGGGCAGGAGACGCGTTTTTCCGAGGGGCTCCGCGCCATGAGGAGCCGGCTCAGCTCCCTCCACTCCACCCTGGCCAAGGCAACTCCAGAGGCACCCACCGGTGAGTCCTTCCCAGCCTCCCACGGCCTCGGAGCACCTGGGGTGGGCACAGGCAGCTCGGGATGCTCAGGGGTGGGACAGGTGGAAAATGCCAAATCAAAACATCAAAACTCCAAGGTATCACCTGCCAGCCCCAACATCCCTGCCAGACATTCCTTGCGGGGCTTGATGTTGTCAGCGGGACAATATTCCAGGAAAATAACAGGTGAAGGGAGGCTTGGAGGGTCTGGGTGAGTTTGGAGATGGCAAGGATAAGGCCCCCCCCAAAGCTGACCCCTCTCCCTGTGGTCTCGCAGTCTCCTGTCCTGCCCTCCAAGCCCCCACGGACGGGAGGAAGTTCGGCACCAAGTATTCGGTGGAGCACGAGGTTCACTTCACCTGCGACCCGGGTTTCCAGCTGCTGGGCTCCAGCACACGGCTGTGCCAGGCCAACGGCACCTGGAGCGGGCAGGAGCCCCGCTGTGAAGGTACTGCCCCTTCCCTGCCCGGGAATGGCGCTGGGAGGGGCTGGATGTACTGTGGCCTTATTTGAGTATGGGGGGCTTTGGGGGATCACCCAGTGGGGAGGGATCGCAGCTGCATCCCAGTGTCCCAGGGGAGCTGCAGCTCCAGTGCTTTGGGGTTTCTCGTCCTCGAGGAAAACTGGGAATTACAGCTGGAGCCTGCCCAGCAGCTCAACAGCAGAGATGAGGGCAAAAAGCATGGAGGCACTGTGGGGTCCGAAGCATCCCGGTGTGGGTGGCGTTCCCAAAGGAAAGTAACATGGAATGTGCTCTGCTTTTCCCGCAGAGATCAGCGAGTGCTCGAGCAGCCCCTGCCAGAACGGTGGGACGTGCCTGGAGGGGCTCAACCAGTTCAGGTGCCTCTGTCCCCAGCAGTGGACTGGGGCCACCTGCCAGCACCGGGCACAGACGGGTGGGTGACCCTCCCTGGGGGTTGACCTGGGGGTGCTCCGTGCCCCCTCCTCACCCCGGCGTGTCCCCCCCAGCTCCTCCCGCCTGGAGTGTGAGGGACGATCCCGCCTTCAGCCGCCAGCCCCGCTGTGCCCAGGTGGCCCAGGCCCAGCAGTGCAGCTGCGATCCCGGCTTCCACATGAACGGGACGGCCGCCAACGGGCTCTGCCAGGGTGAGCCACGCTGGGAACTGGGACGCGGGAGGGACGCGGGGCCCTCGCGGAGTCACAGCACGGCGAGGGGTGGAAGGACCACAGTGGGTCAGCACATGGCACGGGGTTGTGCCCACGTGGCTCTGGAATATCTCCAGGGATGGAGCATCCACGCCCTCCCTGGGCAATCTGCTCCAGGGTTCATTCCTGGGCATCACTTTCTGCCCATTCCCTCTTGTCCTGTTGCTGGGCCCCCCTGAGCAGAGCCTGGTCCAGCCTCTGGCACTTCCCTTTGGATACTGATAAACATGGGCCCCTCTCAGTTGTTCCTCCCGAGGTGCAGGACCTGCATTTGCCACTATGAAATTCCAGACAGCTCCTTTCCAGCCTGCCCATGTCCTTCCAGAGGGCTGCACAGCACCCTGGGAGATCAGCCACTATTCCCAGTTTTGTGTTGGCAGGGACCTCGCTTCATCCAAGTCCTGGATGGATGAGTTAAAATGGGGCCCAATATCAACCCTTGGGGGATCCTGTGCTGCTGATCCCGATCCCCTGGGATCTGCCACGAGCCAGTTCCTAACCCACCTCAGTGCCCACTCTTGCCGAGTTTTCCCAGGAGGATGCCGTGGGATCCTGGCTGAATCCCTGTCTCCACAGACCTCAACGAGTGCGAGGTGTTCCAGCGGGACGGGGGGCCCCGGCTCTGTGCCCATTCCTGTGTCAACCTTCCCGGCTCCTTCCGCTGCTTCTGCCCCTCCGGATACGTCCTCCTGGGAGACGGCAAGAGCTGCGAGGGTGAGTGGGGCTGGAATCCGCTTTTCTCTCCATTTCCACACACAGAAATCTGAGGGGGTTGGCACAGAGGGGATGGTGCGGAGGGGAGGGTGAGGATGGAGTGATGTTTTGGGGGATGGAGGCGGATGGAGGATGTTTGGGTTGGCGGGAGCTCCGGCTGGATGGGGAGCTGGGCAGGGAAATGCATCCCAGGGTTGTGCTGGGGGAGGGAAGGGAAAACTCCAACCAAAAAAAAACCCAAAATTAAAAGAAAATGCTTTTCTAGAAGCTCCTCTCCCTCCTTTCCCTTTATCTCTTTCCCTTCTCCCCTTTCTCCTTCCCCTCTCTTCCCTTCCCCTTCGAGAGGGGGGGGAAGATGATGGAGCGATGCTTTGGGGCTGCACCTCCCTGAAAATGGGGATGGGGGAAGTTGGGAAGCAGGTGGGAATTGTGGGAGGCCAGAACTGCCGAAAGTCTCCTCCTGAAAAATAGGGAATTTTTCCACTGGAAAGTATTGATTGCTGCAGTTCAGGGTGAGAAAAATCCTGATTTCCCCTTTTCTCCCTGATTTCTATGTGTTCCATGGCATCTTGTTATTGCTCCCAGCAAACCCTCTGCATTCCAGCTCCTCCAGGTGTCCCAGGGGTGTTTAGTAAATAGAAGGGGATTGTGTGTCCAAACAACTGAGCAGAAAGTTTGGAAAAACAGCTGCCCTCCTGCTGCCATTAACCCTTGCTGGCCCAGGGCAGAGCCTGGGGAGAGGAGATGGGATTTTGGGATGCTCCCAGCCACACTCCCATACTTTTTGAAACCTACTTGACCCATTTCAAGGTGGTTTTGCCTATTTCCCACCGGAAGGGACCTAAAAGCGAGGTTGGCTGGAGTTTCCCAGGGCCCTGACCCGCTGCCCGCCCCTGTTTTCCAGACATCGACGAGTGTTCCCTCTCCCAGGATAACTGCACGGGCGGGAGCACCTGCATCAACACCGGGGGGGGGTTCCAGTGCGTCACCCCCCAGTGCCCCCCGCCCGCCGGGAACGTCTCCTACGTCAAAACCTCCCCTTTGTAAGTGTGCTTTGGCACGAAATCCACCCACGGCGTGGATCCAACATCGAGGTGGGGGGCACGACGCGGATCCCGCGTCCCCCAAAAACCTCTCCCCGTTTTTCCCTCCGCAGCCAGTGCGAGCGCAACCCCTGCCCGATGGAGAGCCGGTCGTGCCACCACGCTCCCAAAACCATCTCCTTCCACTACCTGCCGCTGCCCTCCCGGCTCCCGGCTCCCACGCCGCTGTTCCGCATGGCCACGGCGGCGGCTCCGGGCCGGCCGGGCCCCGACAGCCTCCGCTTCGGCATCGCGGGCGGCAAGAGCCGCGGGCACTTCGTGGTGCAGCGCTCGGACCGGCACACCGGGGAGCTCATCCTGGTGCAGAGCCTGCGGGGCCCCCAGACCATCCAGGTGGACGTAGACATGTCCGAGTACCTGGACCGGGTCTTCCAGGCCAAGCACGTGTCCAAAATCACCCTCTTTGTCTCGCCCTATGAGTTTTAGGGCGAGGGGGTGGCGGCAGCTCCCGGTCCCTGCTCGGCATCCTGGTCCTGGGGATATCCCGCTCCTGCTCCCGGGGACATCCCGCTCCTGCTCCCGGGGATATCCCGCTCCTGCTCCCGGGGATATCCCGCTCCGGAGCCAGCCAGCCTCCCCCTCTGTCCCGAGGTTCTTCCCAGGTGGATTGACACCCGCCTGTGTGCAGGAGGAAAACCCAAATGAGGAGGAAAAGGAGCGGGAAGTGGGGCACCGTCCTCACGCCCAGCTCCGGAGGGATGAGGTCCTACAACCACCTGCTTTCCTCGGGATTCCTGCTTTTTCCTTTAGGAAGGCAGTGAAGCCGAGCATGTGGGAGGAGGGAGGCTCCTGGCCTTTCCCACTCTCCTCCCTGCTGGCCTGGGATTGCTTGGAACCCAGCTCCACAAAAACAGGCCTCTGCTTCCCTTTTCATCCTCAGAATCTCCCTGGAGCCTGCTGGGGGATTGAGGTCCAGGGCCTTAATCCCCTGGGATTGATCAGGGCTGGAAAACTCCATGATCGTCCATCCCACTGGCTCCCGGTGCCTTCCTTGGGAAACTGGGCAAAGGAGGAATCCCAGTGCTATCCCTGCTCCTTAAACCTCCCCAGTGGGAATCCCTCATGGATCTCCCGGCTGCGTGTGGAGGTGGGAATATTCCCTGCTCCATCAGCCATCCCGGTGGAGGAGTGCTGGGAAGAGCTGGCATTCGGCTCTTCCCAGGGGGATTCACCCCCCCTGCTTGTGCATGTTCTCCTGACATTCTGCATGTTCCCACATTCCGCTGGATTCAGTACAATTAAAGGATGCTATAAAGGATGGCACTGGAGTGGAGCACCCAGTGGATGTGTGGATGGTGGGAATGCTCATCTGGAGCCATCCAGGAGAGCTCTGGGTCTGGTGGGGCAAGGACCTGTTATCCACAGTTTTACTTTCCTGCCTTACATTGCTTGGGATGCTCAGCCGTGAGCATCCTGCTGAGCTTCCCAGTCCTTGCCCCACGGACAAAGACTTCCCAAGAGGGATCTGTCTTCTGAGGGGGAGATGGATCTTTGCATCCTTCGGGGGATTGAGCTCCCGGATTTTCTGGGGGTAGAGCCTTTCCATGGGAGTTGGGATGGGGTCAGGTCTCTCCCGGCAGAACAAGGAGGGACATTCAGGGCTGCTGCCGGCGGATGGAGGATGTTTGGCTTGGCGGGAGCTCCGGATGGATGTGGAGCCAGGCAGGGAAATGCATCCCAGGGTTGTGCTGGGGGAGGGAAGGGGAAAACTTCCTTAAAAAACCCCAAAATCTAAAAAAAAAGAGGCTTTTCTGGGAGCATGGCTGCTCTTCTATTTCTCCTTTTCCTTCTCCTCCCATTCCCTGGCAGTTCCCAGCCTGGCTGGATGTGCTCCTACAGCAGGCCGTGACCGTATTTTGGGATGATAACAAGATCTGGGAGCCAAGAACCAGGAATCTGGGAGAGGACGAGCTCCTGATGGGGCAGAATAGTTTCCATGTGCTGCTTTCACTGGATAGCACAGCTGGAGACGGGCGCCTGGACCGCGCTCCGGAGGCTTTTCCTTGCGGCACAATTCCAAGCTGACAACATTTTCCTAATTCCCAAGGCCAGGGTGAGCTGGTTTCTCCCTTTCCAGCCCTGGAAAAGTTTAAGGTCAGCTCTTAAACTTTCTCTCAGGTCCAGGCTGCAAACCCCTGGCTGCCATTCCAGCTGACTCAAGGAGATTTTTCCCTTCCCAGAGTGGCTGCTCCGGCACCTTTCAGACTTCCTGAGGCTGGAATGTGCGGAGAGAGGCTCTTCCAGCCCTCAAATACAACTTTTCTTTGGGATAACAATATTTTGGAGCCGGAAAAGAAAAGAGCTGGGATGCTTCAGCTCCCCTTTGGGTGGGCACAGCTGGCTCCAGATGCACTGCCCCCAAAAATCACCATTTCTCACCCCAAGTGGCTCAGGGGAAAAATGCAAAGGATGAAGGAGAGAGAGAAATCCAGTGCCTTGGAATTTGGGAGACTGGAATGGGAAAGCATTCTCTGTCCTCCTTATTCCATGAGGAGGGACAAGCCCCACGCTCAGGGCAGTGGGAGGTAACTATGACATCCCATCCCATTTTCTCATCATCCTCCACTTCCCAAAATCCATTCCTCATGGACCTTTCCCAGCTGAACATCCCAAGTCCGGAGCACCCCTGAGCTTCTCCTCCCCCTGAGCTACAGTTAAAAGAATGATAATTATTACACACACAGAGAACATGAAGTTACTGTCAACTACAGGTTGAAATCGGAATATTTAACCAAAATTTAAGGATTTTTCCTTTTATTCCGAATTTGAAATCCCTTTTTTTTCCCTTCTCTATAGCCTGGGGAGATGGTGCTGAGCCCTGTGGGCACCATGGGGTTAATTAGTGAGCATGATGGGACTAATTAGTCCTAATGAGCCCCAATGACGCTCCCCAGCCACCAGCACCTCCACAGAGCCCCGTGTCAGTCCCAGCGCTGCTGGAATGCCATTTTCCAGTTATTTCCTTGGATTTGCCTCATCTCTATGACGACTTGGACCCTTAGTCCAGCTTGGCCACACAGAGATGGTTCTCCCCTCATGGACCTGAGGCTTTTCCCAATGGGAACCCGTGGGAATACATTTGACTCCTCCCTCTTTTTTTTTTTTTTTTTCCGTATTTTCCCTTTGGATTCCTGGCACTGGAAAAATTGAGTCCGTGTCCTGAAAAGCCTCGCGAGGCAGGCAGACAAGACTGGAAAAGAAAAATGTAACTTTGGGGGGGGGGGGAATTTTTATTAAAAAACATCGCGGTGACTCCGATGCCGCATCTTCCCTTCGCGCGTTATTACTTCATTGTAACCACTTTTTTTCGCCGCGCCCTGACGCCGAACCGCGATTCCAGGGAAACACTTTAATCCCGGCGGCGGCGCCGCGGCCGCCCCGGGGACGCAAATTTTATTATTAATTATTATTATTATTATTAATGCCGCTAATGAAGCCCGCGGGGCCGGCTCCCCCTCTCACGCACCGCCGCCAGGGGGCGCCGCCCTCAGCGCCGGGGGGGGGGAGCGGCCATGACGCAGCAGCAGCAGCGGCGGCCCCGTCGCCGCTCCTCGTCCCGGTTCTCGCGGGCCGGAAGCCGCCTCCCTTTTCCTCTCTTTTTTTCCCCTCCTTTTTCCCTCCCTTTTCCTTCTCTTTCCCCCACCTCACACCCCCGCCCCAATTCCAGCGGGGAAAACGCGTCCCGGATGGCGCCGCCGTCACGTGACGGGCGGAGGGGAGGACACACACACGCACGGAGGGGGGCACGTGACGCCGCGCGCCGCGAGGCCCCGCCCCCTCCGCGCGCGCACGGCGGCGGCGGCCGAGGGGACGGGGCGGAGGGGGGGCGTGGCCCGCGCGTGACGCCGCTCCGGGGTTTGACGGGCGTGCGGACGCGCCAATGGGCTGGCGAGGCGGCGCGTCCGCGGCCAATGGCGGCGGGCGGGGGGCGGTCCGGGGCGGGGCGGCGGAGGAGGGGCGGGGAGGAGCGCGGCGGGGCGGCGGCGGCGGCGGCGGCGTGAGGGGAGCGCGGCGCCATCGCGGCCCCGGCGGGCGCAGAAGACGCTGTGGCGGCGGCGGCGGCGGCGCGTGCGGGCCGCGGGCGCTTAAGCGAGCGTGTGCGGGCAAAGCGCCGGGGGGGCCGCTGCTGCCGCCGCCGCTGCTGCTGCTGCTGCCGCCGCCGCCGTTCGTCCTCCTCCTCCTCCACCACCACCACCTCCTCCTCCTCCTCCCTTCTCAGCCGCCGCCGCCATTTTGTGCGAGTGCCTCGCGCGGGCGCCATGTTTGTAAGGAAGAATTAGGGCCGCCATCTCCGGCCAGCAGCACCTCCCTCCCCCCGTGTGTGTGTCCTCCCGCTCTCCTGTGCCCCGGGGCTGCCGCTCGAGCCGCCGCCGCCGCCGCCGCCTGCCCGCAGCGCCCGCGCGGGGCGGCCGGGCCCGGGCGCTGAGTGCCCGTTAGTGTCTCACTAAGTAACCGTGAGTGCAAACCTTCATCATCTCTCCTCACTGAGGGGCCCGGCCCTCCTCCTCCTCCTCACCGAGCCGCCCCCAGCGCGGCCGTGCGCGCCGCCGCCGCCGCCTCCTCCCGCCGCTCCGCACCGCGGGCAGCGGCGGGGCCCTGCCTTCCTCCACCTCCCTCCTCCTCCTCCTCCTCACCACACCACAGCCAGGCACAATGGCCTTTGAAAGCCTGTTCTCCAAACCCCCAAACCCAGTTCTTGACCCAAACATGCCCGACTCTGACAGGCAACATGCAGGGGACGAAAGGTCGAGTAACATTCTTCTCTCTCTCCGCTTCTCATAATGGTGGTACTTAGTGGGGTGATGCTGGTAATGATGATGATGCTGATGCTGATGATGATGCTCTGTTAATGTGCCTGAGGGGGTTAACGATGTTTTTGGGGGGGCAGGTCACCTTCAGGCTGGACCGGGGTGGTGGTGGTGGGGAATGCAAGGAGGGGAGGGGGGGTGTCACTGCATTAAAAAGTGCATTTTTTTAGCAAGGTTTTAATTTTTCCTTACGGAATGCATGCGTTTTTACATCTTCATTGATTTATTCTGGCTGGGAAGGGGGTCTGTTTTCCATTCTTTCCATAAATTGCACTTTCCAGGGGGTGTCTGTTGAATGTCACCATTGTTCTCTGTCTCAGGCAGGAAAGGGTGCTCCGACTTGGGCGGGTTTTTTATTTTTGGCTGTTTTTGTTGATACCACAATCTCTCACTAGAGCCATATTTAACGTCATTTTCTTGCCAGATTCCACCTTACACATTTAACTGGATCTTTTTTTATGCAGATTAAGGGCTGACTGACGTTATCTTTGCCACCTCTCAATCCCCATGCGCAGAAACCAGAGTCCTGTTCCTGGTGAAAGGACCTCTGTTCCTCCCTCCTTCACTCCCTCCCTCCCTCCCTTTCTCTCCTGCAGCTGCTGGAAATTCAAATCCTTTCTCCAGGCAGCCCTGGCCTTCCTAACTAGTTCCAAAAATACTGTGCCAGGGTGGGAACTACCCGTCCTTCAGCCTACACCTACTCAGAGCATTCCTGCCTGGAGTTAACTCCTCCAGCTGCAGGAGTTAAAAACGCTGGGTTTTTGGAGTTCCCTGAGCTTGGCCTCCCCCCACACAGCTCCACAACCCTTTGTGGTACTTCAGAGGGCTGGAAAACACTGGGAAAAACAGACAGACAGAAAAAAAAAAAAAGGGGCTCGTGAGCAAATGCAACAGTTTGCTCGCTGGAGAAAGAGTCCCTGATTCCATGTGCAAAAGTGGGAATTGGTCCCAAAATAGTCCTGGGATTTAGGGAAAGGGTCAGGGCAGAGCCCAGAGCTGCTGATTCTTGTTTTCCCCTGCCTGCTTGTCTTTGGGAAGTGGTCCCAAAATAGTCCTGGGATTTAGGGAAAGGGTCAGAGCTGCTGGGTCTTGTTGTCCCCTTCCTGCTTGTCATTAGAAATTGGGAAGTGGGACCAAAACAATCCTGGGATTTAGTGCCAGGTTCAGGGAAGAGCCCAGAGCTGCTGGGTCTTGTTTCCCCCTTCCCACTTGTCCTTGGGAAAGGGTGGAAGTCGTGTCGAACTCCGTGTTCCATGAGCTGTGCCCTGAGCAGCCCAGGAATCCGCTGGGATTGCTGGAGCTGGGACAGAGCTGTGCTGGGGAGTTCCTGGGGTCAGGCTGTGCTTTGTTACTGTTTCAGGGATTGAAAATCTCCCATGTTTCCAGGTCCTCCTGGAGGACAAGCCTGAGTGGCTCCGGGTTCTGCTGGGAGCAGAGCTTCTCCAGCTTGGAAAGCAGCCATTCCCACCAGTACAGCCAGTTGTGACACTGGTAAATTGTGCAACAGAACCATTAAGTGCCCCCTAATACTCTTAATTAATTGCAATTTATAAGCGTTGCTTTACAATACTCTCATTCCCAAAGAGCAACAAGAAACACCACCTGGGAGATCATGTTTTTGGTAAAATATGTTCTTCATTCACTGCAGGAAAGCCCCAACTCCCAAGTTTTTTTTGGTGTGTGACAGCAGGTGTGCAGATGTAGGACCAGCAGAACCAGTTCACTGCAGGGAACACCCATACTGGGAGCCTCAGAGATTCCGTCAGTTTGTGCAGCAAACAGAGTTTGATTTCAGCTGATCTGTTGAGTTACCAAGAAGCTGCTCAGTCCAAAACCCTGCCTGGCCACACTCTTAAATATTCCCAGCTAGGAGGTTGCTTTAATCCTGCTTTAATCCAGAGCCTTTGATTTTGTTACTGCTTTTGAGCAGGAGAAAACAGTAAAAAAAGCCCTGTCTGTTCACAGTTTGAACATTCCAAGTTGGAAGGTTGTTTTAGTCTTTTTGTTTTCTCCAGCCAAATTGTTTGTAATTCTTTAAATGTTTTTAGTTAACTCCTCTTGGTGATGTTGTTTTGGTGATGAAGGGTCTGGGCCTTCAAATACAGGGATCTTGGAAAGGTTTTTCCTGCAAGGTGAGGATTTAGTGAGGATTTCTGGGTTCTGTGGGTGAGGAGGAAGTTGGAGGCAAACTCAGTTCCAGTAAATAAACACATAAATCATTGCCAGCTTTCCCAGGAACTTTAGGAAATCCCTTGGAGTTCATTGACTTTCGCTTTTTTTTGTCCTCCCAGCTGCCCCTCAGGTTTTATTTGATTTTTCTGTGTTATTTGGAGGTACTCTCCTTATTAATTCCTAATTTCCTTAGCCTAGCAGCACCCTAGTATCAAAATTTGGGGAATTTTAGCCCTCTAATGTCTTATTTTAGGCATGGAGTTCTCACACAATAATATTTCACTATTGAAATAATTACTATTTTCATTCCTGAGCTCTTTATCATTTTATAAACATGTTGAGAGCACTGGGAGGGAGGGTTTGTGTTTTTTTTCTTTAAATTATTCTGGACCAGTGTCCCAAACACTTGAGTGGTTTAATTGTTATAATTGTTTTTAAATCAGACCTTTCCTCGGCCCTGAATCAAACCTAAAATTTAGAGGCTTAATTAATGTTTGAGGCTCGAGAATCCCTGTAATATTTGAGGAAAATGCATCCTGGCTTTGGATCTTGCACTTAAGGAGCTTGGGGTGTAAATCTTCTTTGGGCATAAGGAATTCTATTTTTACAACTGACCCGGAATGAGGTCAAGGAAGGGGAGTTCAGACCCCAGCTTTGAAGTTAAATGAAGTTAAAGCACCAAAGAATTTGGGGGAGTTATTTGAGGTGTGAGGTTGGATTTTTCCACCCCTGCCCAGAGGTGTGGATTTTGGGTTTCCCTTCCCTGATATTTGTGTGACTAAGAATCCCCTCGGGACAGTGGGAATGTTTCTGGGATTGTTTTCACTTATCCAAGGAGTTCTGAGTAGCTGGAGAGTGTGGAAGAGGGGGAGGCTCTGCTCTGCCTTCCTAGTGCACAGCTCCAGCTTGGGATTTAAATGGGAATAAAAACCCTCTGAAACAGATGAGAATTCCTGCCCTGTCACTTCCTTGAAGCTCAGAGCTTGGAAAATGCTGGGATGTTGTGGAAAGAATTTAGGGATTAGAGGACTTGTGTTATCTTCCCTCTGACATGCAATCCAAAGGATTGTATTACGGAGATTGTTTTACCTGGAAAGTTACTCCAGTCCTGGATGTGTCCCAGAAGTGGAAATCTATGAGTGCAATTCCCAAGGGAACTGGGAAATGGGAACGACCTTGTTCCCAAAGAGCATTTTCAGTGGGTATTTTA